ATGCTAATCTCCTCTCGCGTGCATGAGCAGCTGGATAAATTACGCAGCTCATTTGCGCACTTTTCCTGAAGATAGAAGAGTTTGTTGAATCTGACGTGACATGTTCGTACGAACCCTTTGTACGAACAAAAGTAAGAGAAATTTAGGAGAAGAATACGAACATGTTCTTGCATGAGGCCCAATGTTCCAGCCAAATCAAAATACTGTGGAGATCAGAATACTGTAGTTAACTGTGCCAAAGGAAGCCCTCAGGTTTAAAAGCAAAGAAAAGAAAACTAGACACTGCATAGTGGGAGCATATATAACTCCCACACATACACAAAGTACACACACACCAGAACTCACATATGGGTTGTGGCTGTTTAAGATGATCTGGTTTTTAAGTGAAAAGCAACTTTTAAATGATTATTACAAATAAAATATTTAGTTGATGGAAAAAGTATCTGTTCCAAGTAGTTTGAGTAGAGTGATAATGAAACGAACTACATTGTGTGATGTCATATACAGCTCTGGAAAAAATGAAGAGACCACTGCAGAGTTTCTCAAAACATTCCATCAAATCTTGATTTCTGAACTCTTCCTGAGTTCAAACATTAGTATTTTTGTTTCTAAATGAATATGAACTTGTTTTTTGTGCATTATTTGAGGTCTGAAAGCATCTTTGTCATCATTTGGACCATGTCATAGACTAAAAAAACATTGTTCATTTGACTCAATCATATACGTATAAAGAATAAAACTAGACACCACATAGCGGTAACATTATGACCCCATCATGTTACCGCTATGTGGTATCTAGTTTTATTATTTTTTATTCTGAAGTTTTTGTCTTTAATAAACTGCTTAACTTGGCTTTTTTAGCTTTACGTCATTTTTCTGGAAGCTACTGTCATAATTAAACCCTTATTAAAATGCATTCTTTAAGCTGGGTTAAACAGGACTTGCCGAAGTGTTAAAAATAGCAATCAGTGCAAATTAACTTCAAAACAAATAAAAGTCTACTTTAGTAAAAGCACAAACAATGTCTGCCTGCCAAGCATGATGCATCTGTCAGGTCTGATGTTACCTGTAGACACAAAAGTCCTGTCTTCAAGAAACATCAAAGACCCAACATCTGTCCTGAGCATCAACCTTAAACAACAAAAACTAGACAGGTGTTTACCGTGTGTGATGCTCTAAAACCTTCAGAGGGGAGGTAGCAAAACGAAGGTCCCACATCTGGATGACAGGCATCCGGTCGTCCTCGGAGGCCAAGACCAGTTGAGTGGCCACCTCTGGGTTCCAGGCCAGTCCAGAACAGTGCATCTTAAACAAACCCACGACAGGAGGTAGTGTGAGAAAAAAAAGTGTTTTTGTTTTTGAGTCCAGGTGTGCTGGATGACCCTGATCAGGAACTTACTCTGTTACTGTGGTCGCTAACTTTGATGATCAGGTCATTTTTGCGCAGGTCCCACACTGAAGTCCGCCCACTGGGACTGGCTGAGGCCAGGATGTGTTGGACCTGCTTGTTCCACGCCACATAGCTGATGTCCTCCTGAGGCTTTAACACAAACACACAAACTTTCATGAGTTATAAATCAAAAACCACTCATCTCCATGCAGCTGTGCTACTCCCAACAAGACACAAACTGAACAAGAACAGCCCGGGCAATGCAACTTTCACTTATTTCAGATGAGACAAGATTACATGTTGATCACAACCTTACAAATTTATTTAACAGCAAAGTTGGATACACTTGACCCCATTATACACCTAGATCAGAGATTCTTAACCCATGGGCTGTGAGCGCCACCTTGAGGGCCTCAAAGAAACAACAGTTTTTAACTTTGGGCCGCAGAGGGCCATGGGACCACATTGATTTTGAATAAGGTGCAATACACTTTCTCACCACTAGTAGCAGTAGTGCACCACTCAGATGTTTAACAACTTTTTTTAATATGTAGAAGAAGAACCTTAGAAACCTGTTGGTCCCTCCTTGCGCTGTCGGCGACTGGGTGTGCGCTCTCGGCTAGATCATTTTTGCTGGGGTTCAGTACCTTCTTTGGGCTGCCGGTTGGCTGTGGGGCTGGGGGTCGGGTCTTGGGGGTCTGAGTGGCTCTGGGGCGGGGGGTCTGTTGGTCCCGGTTTCTGGCAGTCCTCCGGGCTCTGTCTGTCCGTGATCTGGCGTCTTCCAGGCCTGGCGGTCTGTTCGGAGGAGGAGGTCTTGGGGGCCTCAGTCCCTGGGTGCGTCTCGGGGAGTGGGGGATCCTACTGGGGTCAGTGGGGGGAGCTGGCCCCCCTGTGGGAGCATTCTTGCTCCCTCAGTTTTTTTCTCCCCATCCCCCACCACAAACCTCCACCCTCTTCATTTTTCAACTGCACTCACGTAGGGTTCTTGGGGCAAGGTGTGTTACAGCGGCAACAATTTTACATCTGTTTGTTGTGGCCACCTGGGCTCCAATTTTACTGTACACCTTAGACATTTATTCATAACCACATAACATTTACACATAGGGACCTGGGAGTGAGCACTTATGCATGTAAGGGGCGGGATGGGAMAKTCTCRCCACTGATGCCTGTGCCCACTCACATTGTTTGCTTTTAGACATTTAGGGTTAGGGTTAGAGTTGGGGTGGAGGGGAAACTGGCATAGTGCTGGCCTCTGCCCTGTCTTCTTCCTGGTTTCAATTGCATTATAGAACATCACGCATCAACAGTACATCTGAGGGTGGGGGTGTGTGTGTCGGGGTCTTTTTCACTTCCCCGTTGGCCATCTGGTGATGGGGTCCTGGGTGGGGGTGGGGGGGGCTGACCGTCTGGTGGGACCTGGGT